TGCTTTTGTTGGTCCCAGGCTGTGCTTTATGCTGCAACAAAACCTGATCAATGAATGAAATTTTTCATGTGGCAAAAATTTAAGGAAGGCATATGCTTTCTAAGTCAAATGACAATACTTTGATTAAAATTTAGGTTAGATGGGAAGTTGATGTTCCAGATTTACAAAAAAAATCTATTTGTCTTCTGTTAGGAGAGTCAATGTTGTGACTCAGCTGTTTTGACAGGTTAGTGTTGTCTGACACGGCTCAAGCATGTACCATTAAAAATCAAGATTGACAGGTGGGCAACAAAAAGATTTCACTGCATTTTCCTCTGAATCAACTCAAATGAAAATCTTTATCTTCAATCTTGAGAAACTGATTTCTCCACTGCAATGCCTCAAATAAGCAGCCATAGATATTTGAAATGCATGGTATCAGAATTTATCTCCTTTCCCACACTTTGTGAACTTCCCAAAAGAGGAGCAATATCAAGCAGTTCCTGACTGCAGTTTTAGGAAGGCAGAATGGACTGTTACCTCTGTGGGCTGAAAGAGCAGATATAACCATTCTTGAGGATTCTTCTTTGCTTTGTAACAAGGTCAGTTCTTCTTCCATCTTCACTTTTAGCCAGTGAAAGGTGGGAACAGTGGTATTGCACTAATAATGGATGTTTCCTGCCAACCTCCAAAAGCACTGATGATCAGCACCTGATTTACGATTTGTAAATGCACCACCAGCTCATATTTTAAAGTATGTGTGATCTTTGAACCACTAAGTGTCGTAACTACTACCATATGCAGCCAGGGATGCTAATTTTCTTTTAGAACTGAGCTGTGGTCTCAGCATGCTCTGCGTTTGTTGTCTTTCTCTTAAATATTTAACAGGTGTTGTGTGTGTGTGTGTGTGTGTGTGTCTTTGCAGAACTTCAATGAAATACATGAAATAGTCAGGGACTAGGCAGCAAAGTGTTGATTCTTGCTGTTGTGAATTACTTACTTTGTTGTCCTCTGTTTTGGACTCTCAATTAGCTCTGTCCAAAGAATCTACTTTTTATGCAGCTACGTAGACATGGAAGAGTTCACCAGAGGCTGACAAGTGTGCTCTAATTTCTGAACTAGCTAAAATAGCACAAGCCTCAGTAACTTTGCTATCCACTCACATATTTTATGTGTGGAACTTTTTTTCTTTAAAACCAAAGAAGGTGTTCTCATTTAAATTTTAAAATATAATAAAATGTGTTATCCTAGCTGATATGATACAATAGATTGATAAAACTTTGTGATAGAAAAAGAATACGTTGACATCTACAGTTTATCAAAGATTTTCTTGTTTGAAATCAGAACTTTGTTTCAAGGATGATTTGACATTCCTTTGTATCATTCATGATGAAATTTAACCATCAAGTAAAGAGATTTTATGCATTTTGGCAAGTTATTCAAGAGAAAAAAACCGCATTTTGACAAATAACTTATTGATAAAAATGCTTAAGTGTATTTATCTGTACATTTGATTTTATGTTTTTTTTCCAACTGTGTAGTTAATTTAGATAAACAAAGCACATATATTGGATTTTCTAACTTGACTTTCCTATCCAGTCATAGCAGATCAGGAGCAGATTTTTTTTTCTGCCAGGGCTAGAAAAAAAAACCAACAAAAACCAGTTTTGGAAGTGATTGGGTGTTGCTAAATGGAATTTAGATCGCTGGTATCTGCAAAGAATACAGACTTGTTGAAAGCAGTAATAGGAAAAAAAGTGACTTGAAACAAAAAACATTGAGTAAATGAAGTCAGATTCAAGCAGCCAAATGAACAAGCAGGGTGTGAGCATTGCCTTGTCAAAGCCAGTAATCTTAGATGCCATTAAATATTTAGTGTGGTCTATTTGATGAGTCTGGTCTATTTGATCTGCTTCTCACAAGCTCTTTCTTTGAGAGGTCTTTATTTATGATTTAATAGCCGTCCATGAATTTGGAACTTTGAATTAAGAGAATTAAATTTTCTTCTTCAGCTGTATGTGGCATTTGATGAGTGTCTGTGCAGAAGGAAATAATTCTTGAATAAGACCCTCACTTTTAGTTACCAGTTGTCTTAGATAACAGTAGCATATTCAGTCCACAGCAGTAACTGTGGGGAAGGGACCTGTGATCTGTGGTTGTGGCTGAATTATAATTGCCCTGTTATTTACCTAAAAAGGGACACTTGCAGGTGCATGGGAAACAGTTTGAGTATAAATAAATGAAACACTACTCTGGAAACATTTAAAAGCAAATGCCTTAAAGGAAAATAACTCAACAAACATTTCTAATGACATTTCTCTTCTTAGAAAACAAAGTAGAGTATATCCTTTATGTTATCCTTTAAATTTTTAAATCCATGGAGCTATTTAAATTACAGTAGATTCTCTGAAGAAAACAAATTAATATACAATAGGAGAGAAAGATTGTCTCACTGCCCATTACCAAAGCATAGAATAAAACATTCATGTCTGAAATAATTGTAAATGACCTTTTATGACTGCAAATGAAATTCTATTATATAATGCAGTTATTGTATTGCTTCATGCATTTATTAATACTTCCTTATTTTAACAACACCATGAACAATGGGAATGACACATGTGTTGGCACAGAATGAATGTGACCCAGCAAGCTTTTAAAAAAATTGGGAATGAGCAGGTTTGAAATTGAGAACTCTCTTTAGAGCCTGAAAGCTTTTTCTTTTTTTTTTTTTTAAATTAGTGAGATGTCAGCATATGTTTTTAGTATTCAGTTGAAGCAGGGTAGGAAAAACTATGGCCCATATGAAATGTTTTTCAAATGCAGTGCATATAATCAGATTTATTCTTCACAGGTGTACCTTTTCCTGTAGTTTCATCAACAGAACCTTGGGGAGTTTTCTGGTTCATTGGTTGGTTCTGGTTTTTTCTTTGCCCTGTTGCTATTTATAAACCCAGGTGAGTTTATAAATCAATCTGCAATTGAAAGATAATCTCTGATACTATAAGCAGTTTCTCAGTGGAGTTCCCAATGACCTTATTGATCCAAGCCTTTATCAATATTTTCTTGATTTCCCACTGATTTTCTTGATTTATGGGTTTTCTGACTAAGAGAACTAAGAGGCCTTAGAGTGCTCTGAGGCTCACTGCTATGGTGTCATGTCTATAAACAAAGACCATTATCCCATGTAGCAAATCTATGTACATTTTTATCAGGGTTATTCTGGAAAAAATCTCAGTTTCTTAACTTGGTAAACAAGTTCCCTGAAATGGCTGTGACAGATATTTATGCCCCTCACTCAGGACAGAGTATTAAAACCCCCTTACAGCCTTTTGCTCTGAAAAGGAAATCAATATGTAGATGGAATTATTATTATTATTATTATTATTATTATTATTATTATTATTATTATTACTACTATTATGTGTTAGTATTGATGACCCGAAACTTTATCTCAGACAGGTAAATCTGGTGAGAAAGCTCATATTTTTTCACTGTTCTAATGATCTATGCTAGCATAAAGTCAGCTTAATCTGTTATCTAGCTGGAGGATTGAGTAGACCTTTAGGGAGAATCAATAATGGAATATTTCTGTACAAGTACTACATACCAAACAGCTGACTGTATTTCAGAACAATCTCTAGGCTGCTTTCAGCTGCAATGGGAATTGCTACTATTAGAAGGCAGAAAAAGTGGCAAAACTGGTTTGCCTCAATTCTTAGTTGTTATAAGTACATACTAACTTAAGCTATAAATAAAAGGAACATTTTGAGATGGTTGTGGTTGACGTTTAGTGTCCAGTTTTCGGAGTTCCCAAAGCAATAGGCACAAATTTATGTGCCAAGCTATCTTTCCTGTTGAGATCCTACACATCTTGGGATGCCTCAGCCTCCAATTCGCACTTCCAGAGGCATTAGAAGAAATTTGCTCAATGGTGTTTGCAGGGTGATATCTATTTGGTTTGCAAATAATTAATTTTTCTCAAGCAGTCAATGCTTGGGTGGGATCAGCTATGAAAACTCTTTTGAACAAACTCTTTTGAAAACCCTTTGGGGCATGTCTGCTTGCTTTTAAATTGTTGTTGATTGCCTCAGTTCACTATCTGCTTATCTCCAAAGCCTACATCACGTGGACACACAGTCACAAATACTAGCCATGCCTCCAGTATGCCAATAAAAGTCAAAGTTTCTCAGTACCTTCAGCCAAAAATCAACCATGAAACTCTCTGTATTAAATGTTCTTGCACAAATCTAGGAGGACAACTAATGTGGAAAGATACAAATTCTTGTGTTTCTGTCTGAAACATTTTGCCAGAAGAGTACTTTGGAAGATTGTTTTATTTTACAGCATCCCTTACACAGGACATCTTTGTATTGAGTGTAACAGAGCCTGACATCTGAATCCGCTGGGCTCCTGGCAGCGCCGAGCTATCAGGTATCTGAAGCCATCTCCTGGTTACTGCCGGGTGAAGCCCAGAGCCACTTCTTTCATCAGCTGGACTCCACTCGACAGAAACTACTCCTCTCCGTCAGGACTTTGGCCCTGTGGAGGCCGATTCCAGCCGGCTCTTGCCGAGCATCCCCCGCGGCGGCCGGGAGCGGATCAGCACCACGGCCAGCGCCCCCGCCGCCCGCAGCCGCGGCCAGGGAACCCACAGGAGCGCAGGAATCGCGGGAGAGGGAAGTCCTGCCTCAGCGCTGATGCTTTTTATGGGGACCAGACACCAAGCGAAAGGTCAAAGCATGCTGTTTGACCTCCTCAGCCATATTTTAAACCGAGGAAAGGATAAAGATCTTTCACAGAAACAAATGGAATAAAAAAGACATTTCTGTGTTACCATCATGCTTCTCAAAATGTTAGACTGAAAACAATTGGTGCAGCCATAGGGATTTTTTTCCCTCCTCATAGCAGTAAGTGGCAATTTTCTTGTCTGCTGAGGGCAAAGGTAACTGCTGCTGGTGGCCAGATCCTGTGTGAAATTAAGGAGCTGAAAAAGTATAAAGGGGAGGAAGTGACACATTATGTTCAAAAAGATCCATTCTATATTTCACCCCAACTCCCAGCGAAGAAACGTGACAGATGACATTCCTTACTGTGATGGAGCTGGCTCTGCAGTGAGACTGATCCGCAGCACTTCCATGTATGTCCTTGGAGGTGAGCAGGAAAAAGTTAGTGAACCGCTAAAAAAGTGCAGAAGTACAACCAGCATCGACTCTTGCTTTCAGTCAAAAGAGGAAGACAGAGACTGGATGTACTCTAAGACTCAGGACTGCTTGAAGTACCTGCAGGATCTGCTAGCCTTGAGGAAAAAATATCTTGAAAACATCAATAACTTGAAATCCATGCATATGGCTCCAGATTCTCCAGCATCCACAAGATCATCCAAAACTGGAAAAAAGTCATTTCTTCCACTTCCTTCCAAAGAGCCTTCTAAGGTAATTTCAAAGAACTTTTGCCATGTGCTTAGTCTTAAGCAACAAAATCATCAAAGCTATGTCACCTGTATTGATTTTCTGCTTTACTGCTTTCAGTCAGTTGTCATTTTTCTTTTGCATCAATTTAAGTGTTGCTAAATACGTTGAGATTCTTTATAAGCAGTGTAAAATTAGGAATGAATAACTGGTCATGGAAAGAAATGTATATGTCTCTTGAGGGGGGAAATGTTGGGAGAGAAAAAGTAGGAAAAAGTTGTAAGAGTATGGAAAATGTTGGAAATGAAAGAGCAAGCTCTGACATCCTGCTTAAGTACATCGAAGTCCTTCACTATGATTAGTGAAGGCCAGCTTGACTGACAAATGCAGTAATCTCTGGATTTTCTGGCAGTCTTATTATTGACAAAATTACTTACACAAAATAATTATAAATTCACTGAAACAAAGAGGATTTTTTTTTTCTGAGCGGTCAGTTAGTTTGTCAGTGCTACATTTAGCATCAGTGCAACCTCTACTGGTAGGATGTGGGGCATAAGGAATTCTTAAGGTTTCCTTTCTCTGTTCATTAATAAGTTGGTGGGTCATTTCTAGACAGTGAAATCCTTAACCCTTTACTGTAATGAAAATACAAAAATAAAAATGGAATATCATCTTTGGTGCAGATTATTTTCATGTATCCTAGAGATAAAAGCTTTATAGGTTACCATGTCACTGGACAGTTCAGTGGTTACCTTGACTCTGGACTTGATTCAGTGAGGACAAAACAAAGGACTGCAGCAAGTGGATTGATCTGTTTAGGTAACATGACTGCAAACAAGACTTCAACAGGAGACTCACAGGTTATCCTGTGAGTCTTTAAGCTGGATAATAATGGGGACGGTGGGAAGAAGGGATGTAGGGCTGAAATTACTGATTAGCCCAGGTTGATGTTACATAATGTTGCTGCCATATTTAGATGTTCTGTCACAGCAGAGTGTCAGAATGGTTTGTGAACTTCTGAGATGTGCTGCGGAAAATACTGCTTAAGAAAAGCACCAAAGCATAACTTGCTTTTTGGCAAACAATTGGATCTCCCACAGTCTGAGGCTAAGAATGCTGCCATCTGACTTTGGCCCTGTGAATGAACAGTCCTGGTAGTGACTGGCATGCTCACTCCATCACCCATCCCCTTGGAAACAGACAGGAACACCAGCAGAGTATTCTTGTCAACACAAATGGCAGAGTCACAGCTGCACACCTCTGGCTTTGTAAAAATTAGGGAGAGGTAAAGAAGCTTTTTACACAATTCAGACTATTCTTCCTAACTACACATTTTATGCCCACAGATTTCAAAGTTTGTGTTATCACCAGGCTTGAATCGTTTTGTCCCAGGCTACCTGCTCTTATTAAATTACTTATCAGTGGGAATTCACTTCTTTCTCTAACCTGCTGCATGATTTATAGGAAGGTAATTTGTCTAGACAAACCTGTGCCCATGGGAGTTTTGATCCAAAGATCCCTGGGTCCTGGGATCTCACTATGGATTCAAAATGTGCCACTTGTGTTTAGTGGAAGAAAAGAAGAGAGGTGGGTCAGATGTGGGGAGCACATTGGCTTGTCTTTAAAATGCCTTTTAACCAATAAGGGCTTAGTCATAATAGCAGTCACTATTTCCAGTAGATGTGTGGTAGCAGCTATCTTTTAACACTTCTCAGGATGTCAATCAACCCATAATGTCAGGAGGGGAATCAGCTAGTTCATCTCTCTGCCTCCACAGCACAGGGAACAGGCTGGTCCTTCAGAGGTGTGACATGGCACGCATCCTTTTCTCTCATTGAAACCCAGGGTAGCAATTTTCTGAGCTGGAATTGCAGCCTGACATTATACCTGACTTGGACCAGTAAGGAAAATATATGTCCCTCCATTAGGTAGAGCCTGACAGGAATTATTCATCCCATTTGTACCTTCAGAATCCCTAACCCAGGTTTTATGACTGCTTCAGCATTTATAGATAGGCATTTCCTTTTTCATCAAGACAGTCTCCTAATTTTAAACTGTGTGCCTTTCCTGTGGGAATTATCACAGTGTTGAATGACTCATAATTTAGTGCGCACCATCCTTTTTAATTTCAAAAAGACTTCAGCAATTTAGATCTAGATTAATTTCACCCAACCTAGGCATTTTAATAAGATGCTTATATTAGTAACAAAGTTACCCCTCAATCCCTTTTCAGCTGAGACAAAGAGCTGCCTGCAGAGGAGGGTTCAGCCTACTTAAGGCCTGACTCATCTTCTGAAGCTACTGGAGCCCAGCATTAATTACAGAAGGAGCCCTGCATGACTACATTTCTAATGTGTGTCTCCTTAGGAACCTAGTGCTAGGCAGAATAAATTTGGTCATAAAGCCCAGCTGTCACTTAGCCACCCAATTAAATGGCCTGGTACATGGATTCTGAAGGATTTCAAAACACCTGGCCAGTAGTGCCCAAGTGGAAGGTACTTGTTGTTGAACATGCAACAGGATGCATATTGGTTAGATATCTGCTGCCCTGCTTTCCTTGATTTCTACACTGTGGAGTAGTTTGGACCTGTGTTTATTTTCTGACAGCCTGAAGTGTGGCATCAAACACATCTTTCATTTGGAGTATGCTCATTCAGAAATCATTGTGCCCAACCCTTGGCTAACTATTTCCTCCTTTGTCTGATCAACAGGCATCCATGGAAAGAAAAGGTCCACAGTCCAGTTCAGATGTAAGAGAAGCAATAGCCTTCTTCGACTCAGTGATTGCAGACCTGGACTCAGAGAGATGGCGGAGAGTTCCTGATGTGGATCTGCCAAATGTGGATGTTGATTTTGATGGTGCAGTATAAACCAGCCAAATATAATGGGTTTGGGGTGCAGAGGGTAGAGGGAGGAAAGGCATTGTGACATCACATTTGTTTAATGAATTTATTTAATTAATCAGTTGTCCTCTAGTTTTCCTTCCCAAATCTAGGGCCATTATATGCAATATGTGAAATTACAGTAATATGTCGCTTGTTCCCTGTTGAATGGGTGCAACTATTTTATGTGCAGTCATTACACGGCAAATGTAGCACGTGCAGGGTTGGAATAGTGCTTGTCTTCTGCTCAGGGCTGAACTCCACCCTTGGATTTGTATCTCAAGCTGTCTATGGAGAATTATAGAAAGTACAAATGTATTTTTTTCTTCACTTTTTTTTTTTTGAGAAATGACTGGGTGACTCCTTTACAACTATCAAAAAAGAAGTCATTTGATGATTAGGCTAAATAACTGGAGGTTTCCATCAGAAAAAAATGAGATTGCCCAAAGAAATGAAGATGTGCCAATTTAAGGTCATCCTGTATAATCAGCAGAGGGAAATAGATATTTCTCACCTTGGCTTCAGGCTGAGGTGAATAACTGAAACAGGTCGTTTTAGCAGTGCTCAAAGAGTATATTTGAAGGGACTAGCTCTCACATACATATTTATGCTGCAGGTGTTGGAATTCTAGATAAAATGAATCCCATCCCGAGTGATATCCTGCAGTGAAACCAGGTTTGTCTCCTGATCTTGCCTCCAGGAAGGACCCAGCAACCACCCTTGCTGTGTTCCCTCACTGTGCAGATAAAAATGTCACTGACAAGCTGTTAATCCCAGATTGTCTTCTGTCTTCCAGTTGCTACCAGTACAAGTGAACACAGTTTGCATTCAAACTGGATCCTTCGTGCTCCCCGGAGATACTCACAAGACACTGCCCAAGCAGCTAAGCAATCCCAAAGAAACAGTCAGAGGAGAACCACTGGCTCTAGGAAGAGGCTGGAAAGGCATCCCATGTACCTGCCCAAAGCTGTGGAAGGGGCATACAGCACTTTAAAATTTAAACCTAAAACACGCAAGAAAGAATGTTGAAAGAAGAATGTTCCCTTTTTATTCCCTTTTCACTTGAAGACAAAATATATGAAATAGGGCATGTAAGACCTAATTTTTTTTTTTTTTTTTTTTTTTTTTTTTTTTTTTTTTTTTTACCACTGATCCATCACTTACACTCCAGAAATGACCTTGCAGTCACTGAAAGTTCTTCACAGAGGACATATTTTAAGCCATGGCTATTCCAATGTTGGACTCATATGAGGGTTTAACTCATCAAATTTTCTGTGCCTAACAATACTGCTTTGTCATTCTGCTTGGTGGGGGGGAACTCCAGCTTGACAAGCCTTTTTTTCTAGTGCTGGTAAAGAAAGAAATGATTCAGAGATTGCCTGGTGCAGTAATTTTTCTTCTGACTCCAGTACTGCAAAGCATTTCAAGGAATTCAGCAAATATTTTGGAGTTTTTGCAGAGGTGTTTCCAATGTCAGAGCAGTGAAGCAGACTTTTCTCCTTCTGTTGCTTGTGAAAATTTGTATGTGCCATTGTTGACTCTTATGTTCTGAGAGTATACAGCAGCACCAAGATACACTCAGTCTGCAGCACGAGCAGAAAAGAGCTGAAGTGAGGGAATCAGCTTTAGAAACTTGTGTTTAGGGTAATAGTGTGCTCCAGTGTGTCTTGTACTCTGCTTGCTATTGGAAATGGTTCTGTGGTTGGATGCATCAAAATAATCACTGCACCCAAAAATGTATGCAGCTTGTTTCAAATGGTTACACCACGTGCTAGTTTTCATCTAACACCCAGCTGATGAATCTAGGCACCCCAGTGTACACTAGAAAAGCTTAAAGTCATGGAGAACATTTTGTGAATAAATTGGAGCAAAAGTTGTTCTCAGGGCAGAAGAGAACTTGCAGACAAAGCTACCACATCACCTTTAGATTATACCAAATATTTGGAATTCTGCTACTCCATCATTAAAGACAATATATTAGGATGAATGAAGTCTAGAAGTGTTTCTCTTCATCTTAGAGGGGATATGTATTCCATGTGATACTTGGAATTAATAAGACCCCATGCTCTGCCTGTCAGAGCTCATACTTTGTCTTAAGAATTTGCTAAGGTGTTTGGGATCAAGCTTTTGCTTACTCAGATTTTTTTTCATCTGGCATCATTCAGCTGGTGCTGGACTATGACAGATGGATCATGGCAGCACTGATATGACCAGCTGGTGATTTGCTAGTGTTTCCTTGTTTCTATGATCAGTAGTTTTTGTGTCCACAGGCTTGGATGAATTTCCTAAGGCACTGGCCATCAATATAGCCCATCTGATATACGAAAACCCCCATAAACCTTGTGCCCTCACACAGAACATTTGGTAGGTGTTAGTTCTTGCTGATTTGTGTTCCCAGTCCTTGGGACTAAGTTATTCAAAAGGCATTTCTGCCATGGGCTGCAAGTATATCTCTGAACTTAATGATCTAGGCCACTTTCTGTCACAAGATAGAAAAGTGCCAAAAAACCATATGTTCCTCCATTCAGAGCTGGCGTCTCCTGTTTGATGAAAGCATTTTGATTCTTTTTCTAGTGATGTTTGTGAAGCAAATGGAAGAATTGTTTCTGTAGCACTTCATTCTGGAGGTGCTTTTGTTGCTCTTGGCCTAGTTTGCATCCTCTTGAAAATGACCAGCTTAAATAACATAATTGATACATATTCAAGAAGAGTTTAAATTAAGGTCTGAGTTTTGTCTCCCTGCTGTTGGTGCTTTTCACAATAGTCTGTATCCTTTATATTGTGTTGCTGTCTTTGTACCTCCCCAGTTCTGTACTGTGCACCCTGAGCTGAATGCCCTTTAAACTGTTCTGCCTCTGAATGTATTCATGGAATTCCACTCAGCCAGGTGGGATAACCAGAGCACAGCTTGTTCCAAACACACCCCTAGGATCTGGCATGCCTCAAGGCTGCAGCTCTGTGTATGTGTGAGAGAAGGGGGACAGTGCTCAGAACTGTACATTTTTGGCAACTGTGTCACCCTGAAACTCCTCTCCAAACAAAATTTCATGCCGAAGTTGCCGAGGAACATTTTTACTGACTGTGCGGGCATCTTTTTGCTACTAGAACCTGCAACATGGATGGGTGCTGACAGGAAATCTCACCATCTTGTTTGAGTTACTACAACAGAATTATGCATGTGCATAATTAAAATACTGATGAGAAAAAAGAAGAAAAGAAAAGGATTCCAATGTTTTTCTGCCCTGGGCTGTGTTTCATGTTCATAGTGCCAAGGTTTTATGCATTGGAGTAACTGATCTCTTTGCTATTGTTTTAAGAATGCATTTTGATGTGCAGAACCAGACTGCTTCAGCATGTGCAAAGCAAGCAGTGCTTCCCTGTAACCTCCTGTCTGTCCTTGTAAAACAGACATCTCTGATCATCTGGTTGTGATAGGGGGTGAGGGTCCCCCTGCTGTCCAGCACAGAACCTTCAGTGTGAAATTGGGTGTGCTTTCATGAATAAGAGACAAAGGAGGGGGGAAATCAGGTTTATAATTTCTATTTGGATTCTGTCTTTTTTTTCCTCTTTTCTTAAAGTTCACTTCAAGCCAGTCATCATCTTAGAAAATTCTAATTAAGTAAGTAAAATAAACCAGTTTTCCTCTGAGAACATGTTCTATCACCTATCCCATGAATACAGGCACCTTCCTTCTTCTTCTAGCATATCAGCCCCTGTATGCTCCTCACTGAACATGGCTTAACTCCAACAGAGCTATGGAGAGCAGTGCCTGCATCTCAGGGCACTCTCTGTGGAGGTGGGAGCTGAGGCTTCAAAGGTCTTGTGCTCGAGCAGCTAGCGAAGCACAGAGGGAGCAGGAGAGAGGAGAGGGGACCATCTCCATCCCCAGTGTCAGCTGCCTCCTCAGAGAAGGATTTAGTGTGGGTGGCAGCACCCTCTGTATTATCCCAAGACAGAACCCTGCCCCTGCCTGGCACTGGCTCATCCTAGGCAGCTTTCTACGCAGCTTCCAGGAGCAGTTGGTTGCTCTACAAAAGTGCTTTCCATCTGGGCTGAATCATTCCCTCGTGGCTTTGCAGGAAGAGCTCCCTGCATGGACACTGAAGGGATTCTCCCTGTCATGGTATGCCCTCTAAATGACCTTGCTGCAACCTGCAGGTATTTTCAGGCATAGCACCCTAGAAATTAAGCAGCTACTAGAGGTGTTCTGACAGTGCCAATCACACAGAAGAGTTGTTCATGACCGGCAGAGCTCTGAGTGACCTAGATCTTTCGAAGAGATTGTTAGTGAGCCCTCTGAGTCATGCCCCCAGGCTGTGGTAATGAAGGGCATCAACCAGGAGCTCTATCGATCAAGGCCACTGTGTGCCAGTGTTCCCTGCAGCACTGATCCCCAAGAGCTCTTTCCCAGAGTGCACTGGAATAATAGGCATGATCTTTGCAAAAACATCTCATATTTTGTTGTTTCAAATCCAGCTCAGCTGAAGTATTAGGATATGTCAGGTCCTTCTGGCCTGTGTCATTGCTGAGTGCTACCTCTGAAGTGGCCCTGGCTACAAATTTCTGTGACAGCACATCCCCATCTGTCTTTGAGAAACTAAAGACACTGTGTACAAGAATCCAGAAAATGAAGAGAGGTGAAGTCTGTTGAAGGAATTACGTCCTGGAGGATTCAAAATAATTTTGTCTTTTTGGGTTGAGCAACTCATTGTAATCACAATGCATGTAAGCGAGGTGAAATCGTAAGGGTCTTTGGCAGAAACAGAAGAAATATAGGCAGCTAATGGAAAGTTGGCAGCTGGACAAGATGTAAGCTCTGGTTTGAATCTTGCAGTGCCATAAAGTTACGATGAAGGCAGAAGGTGTCAGTATCGCCTCGAGTAACGCAGGAAGTCCTCCGAGGTAATGCATAGAAAAATTCATGGCTATCTGCTGCTCCAGCTTTGAGGGGGTGTATTAAAAATATTAGATTCACACCTAGTGGGTGTCTTGAAAATTTTCACAGCTGTTGGGTCAGTTTGTCATTCTGTTTGGGTAAATTTGGGAGAGTGCCTCCTGTGATTTGGTGGTGGGGCAGGCCCACAAGGAGATGAAAGCAGCACGGAGCTGACCAGTCACAGCAGGCTCTGTTTAGGAGGGTTTTGCCAGCTTTTGGGCCTGGAGCTCTGAATTATGCCCATGGTAAAGAGAAAACAGGCTGCATAAAGTCGGTGGAATGACTCTTTAACTATTGTGAGTTTAGCAGGTAGAAAAATGTTCTGCAAGAATTTTGAGGGCAAACCATGACAAATGAGCCCAGCTGCTTCAGACCAGACTGAGAAGCAGAAGCTAAAGCCTGTTGCTTGATTAGCAGCAATTTAGTGCATGATGACAACTTTTCTACTACTAGGCTTGTCATATTAAAATATTGTCCATCTTTTATAAGGCAAGACCGGGCATCACCATCCGAATGACTCAGTGACTGTGATACCCTGACTCCGCACAGAAGATGAGGTGACCTATTAGAGAAAATTTAAAAAGAATTTATGGAATTAAAAGTGATGTATTCCACCCTTTAATAAAAGTGAGATTGAGAAGGAAGCAAGACTTTACCAAGAAGTTTATGGCACTGACAGGGAGGCACAGCACATGACAATAAAGTAAAATAAGTGATTGAGCACAAATCTTCCACAATTAAGCGCTGGGCACTGTCATGGCATCAGCTCTTGAAGATTTCTAGACAGGTAGCTAAAATGGTGACTTGGCCACATGGTGGCAGTTCATTCCTAGCTATTCTGCAACCCTCGTATTTCTGTGAACAAGAGAACTGAAGATGAAAGTAAAAGGGAAGTTTTGTCCTGCTTCATCAAGAGACAGTCAGTGTGTGTATCTGTTATTCACCTCTGCACTCCTTATTTCCCAGGCAGTTGTTTGGCAGTTTCCAATGATCATTAGTTCTTTAAATGAGTTTACTTTTCCAGGGAGAGATTTCCTTAGGCTATAAACAGCCATGACATCACAGGGGACACTGAGACCTCAGTAAATCATGG